TCAAGATATATTTATCTTCTAATTACTAACTTATAAATCAATCAATTAGTTTAAATTTAAATTATTTTATTAACGAAATAATTTATAATGTTAATTTGTAGCGAGTCTACCTTTATGCGTTATAAGTTGTCAAAAACTTATGTGTATTAATATTATCTTAGGTTTTTTTATATATAAATTTATCAAATGAAATTTTTAATCTTTTTATTAAATAAGTATCTTCTTTAATTAATTCAAATAGATTTTTTTTGTTTATTAAAATAAAATTAATTTCATATTTTCAAATTTCTTAAGTTATATTTCTAATTTTGATAAATTAAATAATCAATTATTTTTCTATTTTTATTATATTATACAAATTTTTACAATATCAATGTGTGATTTACATTACCTTCAATTGTCTAAAAATTATAAGAGATTAATGTATAGCTTACGTTATCTTAAATTCTCTTTCAACATTAATCATAATCAAAATTCAAATTCAAATACTTCATTTACAAATAAAATAATTTTTAACGATTTGCAATATAGTTGTGTAATCTTCCTTCACTTTCTATATTATTTCTCGGAGGGTACATGTATAATTGCGTTATCTTGTATTTTAAACATTATAAATTTACAAAAATAATTTTACTTTCAAAATAAATTTTCTTTTACTAAACTTAATTTTAATCAACTAATTTTATAATTTTTAGATAAAATTACGTTGCTTTGAGTTCTCCATTGCACCTGGGATACATCGGAGCGAGAATTAAACTTGTCAAATCAAAATAATTTTTAAAATAATTTTTTCTCTTTTAGGATACTAAGTTAGCATTTCAATAAATAATTTTTCTTCTTTTAGAATAAAATAATTAATGTTTAGGGATTAAATAAATATTTTTTAAATTTAAATTTACACAATTAATTTAAGGTAACTATTTTTAAACGAACGTTATTGGGTGCTAACACCTTTCCTACACATAAATAACTCCCGAACTCATTTTTAGTTTCAAAGATCATATTATTATAAAAGTTTTTCAAGATTTTCTTAAAGTAAAATTTGGTAGCGATTCTTTTGATTTTTTAGAAAATATTTTTTATTCCTAAAAGATGTTTTTCTTAAACACATTTTTGTCGTACCATTGCGACTGTCTAGTTGCAACAAACAACAACAAAAAATGGATACATAACATATTTTTTTTAACTTTTGAATTTAAAATTATAAGAAAAATAACAGATTTAATTAAAATAATATATATATATTAATACCAGTGTTTTTAACTTATATACTATGCAAAAGTATTTTGTCAAAAATATAAATTTTTAAAAAATTATTTTAATGAATTAAATATTTATAATGTATATAAATTTTAGAAGAAAGAATTTGAATTAAAAGATAAATGGTCACACTAAAATTTTATAATCAAATAATATATGTGTATATCAAAAAATTTATACTTTTTAATCCGAAGAAAAAATTAATAAATAAGAATTAACAATATCTTTTTATATTTTATATCTTTTTAAAAACTTCTTTAACGTAAATAAATAGTAAGAATAATATTATTTAGATTCAATAAATTATAGTTGTACTTGTAATATACATGTTGCATAAAAAATATTATTTTAAATTGAAATTTAAAAATAAAATTTAAATATCAATAATTAATAAGCTTACAGTAATAATAGGTGATTGTAAAATTTATAATATGTTTATTATTTATCATTCACTTTATGATTTAAATATCAATATGCTTTTATTAACAAAAATATTTGTGTGAAAAATATTTTATATATGTGACATATAAATAATATTTTTTTAAAAATTAATCTCATATCAACCGTGTAATAATTAAATTATATTAACCTAATTAAATGATATAAAATAGTAAATAAATTGTTTTATTAAAAATATAAACTAAAATAAATATTTTGGTTTACTTTATTATTAAATATATTTTTATATTAATCTTATATAACTTTACATAGTTAAAATCCTGTCTTTTCATCTAGCAGGTTTAAATATAGTTATTTGGTTAGCTTTAATGTTAACTATTATGAATCAGATTAATATTAAGAAAAGTGAAAATTTGGTGAATGCATGTGATTGTAGGTCTACATTTAGTCATTTACTATTCGAACTCACAAAGAATCGATGGTGCAAGTTTTAAATTAGAAGGTTCCGTTCTAACTCATAAAAAGTCAAAGAATCTCTGGAAAACGTTGCGAAAAGCATCCTAAAAGTTTAGTTAGAGCATCACGTTCTTAGCAGTCTATAGCAGAAGTGTTAATCCAACATTGCAATTTGTTTAACAACTTTGCATCGTCCATGGCAACCATATTCACATTTGAGGTATAATTAATAAACCCAAATGGCCTTTCTTTTGTTTATTTTTTTAATAAGCGTGGAACTTTGTCTAGTGTCATACTCATTTTAATTTATAAATTTCATTGACATTAATCCTCAATGAATATATTAAATAAAAGTCAAATAAATTTTTAAAAGCAACTTATTTCGCTCCACAACTGTTAATGTTGATTAATTGACAACTTCAATGAGTTAGCTATACGAGATCGATTACCGGTGAGGTTTGTTAGATTCTCGTAGCTATAATATGAATAAATAACATACGATACCCACAAGCTACGATTCATTCAATATTTTCATACGCGGAGAGTTTCCGGTGAACGAAAATAACTTTTATTTACATAATTAATCGTTCTCTAGTCAAATTAAAGGGTTTAATTTAAATATTTTCATGTTATTAATTAATTAAAATATATCGTGAATATAATTTTTATTTTAATTAATGTGGTTTAAATTCGTGAAGTGATTTAACAATTGGAATATATTTGTTTAAAGTTACATTATGCATTTGCTAATTAAACTCTTAAAATTATGGGGTGATTAACATTAGATGTATATTAAATTATTAAATGAAAGGGATAATAAATGGGATTAAAAGGAAGCTACTTCGAGTGGCGCCGTCAGACATGACCCATGGCTCTGAGACAAATCGTAATTAGTGGATGTTAATGCAATCTTAACCTCATATTAACGGGGAAACTTGTTTGACTTAATTTAGATTTCATTTCTTTTTCTTATTTCTATAAAGTAAGCGATAAATTTGGAGACGTAACTTCTTCTTCTCTACTTCAACCCAAGTTTTTATGAAATTTGCACGCACTATAAACTTATATTATTTATTTATAAATAAAGTTGTCAAGTTTAAATTGACGGATTACTAAAATAATTATTTAATAAATTAAATTATTAGTAAAAACTTTAAATATCTATATTAATAGATAATAAAAACAAATTAAAATTTGATATATATATATATATATATATATATATTATAGTAACAATTTAATTTTTATTTTAAACAATTTATATTGATGAAAATGAAAAGTGATATACTGTTTAATCATAAATATACACATATATGAGAGAATTTTAAAATTTTATTTTCACACTTTTATTTCTTATAACAATTTATTGCCTAAAATATATGAATTTTATTTTGACACATTGTTCGTGTAAAATGTTTATTATCAACAAATTAAAATACTTTATAAATAAATTTTTATATTAATTATTATAAAATTTAATAATTGTTATTAACATAATAATTTATGATTAAATAACAGTGTCAATATATTTAAATTAAATTTTAAATATATTATATTTCTTATATAATTTTGCATATTTTTTATTGTAGATTTTCTAAATTATTTTTTTATAAATTATATATTTTTAAAATTTAATATTTTTTGTCCTAAAAAGTGTTAAAAGATGACATGCTTAATTAAGAAGTTGTCACCATTTTTTTTAAATTAATGTCAATAAAAAAGACTGAGACTAAAATTTGTAAGAAAATACAAAAGGAAAAAAAAAACTCAAGTTAAAAATTTATAAATTTGTAGGGATGAAAAAGATATTTATATTTTATTAAGAATATAAATTTTTACGAAATTACAAAAATGTATTTTTGATGGGCAATCAAGTTATTTTAATCTATTTATATTAAGAGATTTTAATAAAATAAAATGATCACTGAATCCATTGAGATGTTAACTATCAAAATGTTAAGCCATATATGTAAATCGTTGGCTGTGTTAGTAATTGGATGTCATTGAAGATTAATATAAATAAAATAATTAAAGGATAATTTATCTAAACTTCTTTAAAAAAATTCATAAGTACTTTCGTGCACAAACGACATGCAGGATACGCGATCAAATTGCCCGTTACAATCCATAAACCAATTAAGGACACCGAACCTAAAAATGCCTGCACAATGTCTACAGGATGATTTGAAATAAAATTATAAAAATAGTTTATAATTTTTAAATTTATTTGAATAAAACTTTCAGTATAACTTAATTATTAAAATGAAAATTTTCTTACCATAATAAGTTTTATGATTAACGTAATCCGCAGTGTTGAAAAATGCATTAATTATTGTATGTGGGTGGGGTTAATGATAACCCTAAGTTCATTCTAAGAGAATATAAAGTAATAGTGCTTGGAGGAAGACATGTGGTTATACACACGCGGAGTCTCAACTTGTCAACACACTTATCCACTGATATCAGAAAGGCACATTAGTAGTATTTCTCGTTCCATCACACATCATATACCTTTCTGACGTGTTCACGACCCCTTCCAACTCCTACGTACGGTCCTACCTCTAAAATGTGGACATAAAATAATAAATATATAAATAAAAGAAGAAGAAAGCAATACATAAGAAAAGTTCAGACAACCATAGCATCACGAAACCGCCCCTTATGTATGAAAATCCTATTTAAAATTACCATAGTAGAAGCCATATTTTACCAAATGTATATTGCATTAAAATACTCACCTCTTCCCATTGACCAGCTCTCTTTATACGCTTCACGTCAGCCCCTTAAATACCAAGTTTGGATCCCAAAACTCTCATGCCCTCTTCTCACTAGCTAACCTCGATCATCGTCATTTTCTCCTTCAATTCAATCTTTCGATTCGCAGCATGAATTTCCCAGACATTCCCACGGGAAGATCACCCAAAAGAGAACTCCAAGGCCCTCGTCCTTCACCTCTAAGAATAAACAAGGACTCTCACAAGATCAAGAAGCCACCGTTGGCGCCACCACCTTCACAACCCCAAGCTCCACCGCGCCAACCCATCATCATCTACACGGTTTCTCCGAAAGTAATTCACACAACACCAAGTGACTTCATGAGCCTTGTTCAACGTCTCACTGGCTCTTCGTCCTCTTCTTCTTCTCTTTCCTCTTTTGACTCGTCTAATAAGGTCACAACTCAACTTTTAGACGGGAAAAGTAGCCATGAAGGTGCAATATCGCCGGCTGCTCGATATGCTGCAATGGAGAAGGCTAGGATTCCTCAAAGGATGAAACAACACCCAATCGGAAATAGTGGTGATGATGGTGGTGGAGGGATAGAGGTAGAGGTAGGGCTTCATGGGGTGGAGCGACCAAACATGTTTCATGGGATTTTGTCCCCTGGACCAAATTCCTTGTCTCCCATTCCTTCAAACTTCTTCTCGCCCCCTTCAACCACCGATCCCCACAACATGGTTACCTTCTTTCATGATTTAAGCCCTGTCCTTCACGGTAGCAAAAGTTTTATGGAGGGTACTTTCATCTTGCCTAGCCCTTCAAACTTTATTTCACCTCACACTCCATCCATTGACCTTTTCAATAATTTCTCAGGTTGATCAATTTGTTGCTTTTGTTGTTGAGTACTTTAGACTTCACCAGACACATGAAGACCAAAAAAGATGCATATGTCCGAATTAATTGCCTTTAGTGGGAGTAGTTCATACTAAGATGACCTAATTTAAAAAGTATAATTGAAATTTGTTATTCTTTCGGTGGGTAGCTATTATGAAACTTCTCAATGGATACTTTTTTTCTGTTGTTCTATCTTTTTAATTATACAATCTTAGTTCAATGAATTTATTTATTAGTGGGCCATTTTATGCTCTATCTTTTGACCTTCACCTTGGACACCATTTATACCATGTTCTTATATTTATTTTAGTTAGATGATACATATAGACACTGCATATAATTCTTCCATTATTCTGATAATTTTCGGCAACTAATTGCGCTTGGTTGCAACCTTCGAAACTTTAAGGTAAAACCATCTACCATACTTTTAAATCTCGTTTAAGACAGTGCATTTCATTTGCAATGAATGCAACAGTTCTTCAGCTTAGAATGATGATCTATGATTTGAAAATGTGAGGGAGATTAGAGAATCGTAAATTACAAAAACTCAGTAAACCAAAAGAAAATATAATGACCAAGAATAATGTTCTACCCTAGAAATGATTAATGTAATTGATTAAAATACGGTACTACTTGACTTAAGGGCGAACAGTGTATTAATTTACACGAAATGTGTAATGATGAAATATCCAAGTATACATAAATTAATAAAATTAAATGAGTAGTTTAAAACTGAGATTAAATAGAAGTTGTATTTGTATTATATACTATGATTAAGAGAATTGGTGACGTTTTTGGTAATACTCGGCAAGCAAACCAAACTTTGTTGTAGTAAATTGATATCGTCTTTAGAGATTTGATGATAATAGTGATTTTTTTTCTTGTTTATATACAGAAATGGAAAGCATGGTTGAAATAATGGTTTGCATGAAACTAAGTAAAAGCAAATAAAGTAAAATTTAGTAAAAAATATTATGCAAGAAAGAGATTGGATTCAAATGCACTTGCTATCACTTTATCTTCAATGAGTAAATATGATTTCAACTATCTTACTTCAACATTCATTGAGTAACTTAATCAGATTTCTCAAAATTAAGTCCTAAAGTAGTTAATCTTAAAATATGATCCCTCTATGAAATAACTTGAACATAAATGGCTAACAAACCTAAGTCTATTCCTAGTACAAGAGTTTGTTATGTGTGATGATTCAGTCCAGATTAAGAAAATATTTTCCAAAAAAGTTTCAAAGTTCATAAAACGGTTGATCAAGCTGAAATAAGCATTAAGATTAGAAACACACACAAGTAAAGTAATTAAATATCATATAAACTCAAGAAGAAATAGAGTTAGTAGTTACACCAAATTCAATTCAAGAGAAACTAGTCATTCATAGTGAGGGCCATAGTAAGATACAAAATGAAATTACAAGTAGAAGAAGAGATGAAGAAGATTCTTTGTTCCCAAGCAATCTCTTCCCTACGTCTTCCTTGTGCTTCATTTTTTCTTGGATATCTCTCTCTTTCGATCTTTGTTCGTCTCCTTATGTTTTCTCCCAAAATTTCCTTTTATATGTGTCTAAAAAATAAGAGAAATTTAGGATTTTTAATTTCGTTGTTGCAGCTATGAATTCACGGCTGTAGCTATAGATTCACGGCTGCAGCTATGAAGATCTGGATCACCCTAATTATTTTGTTTTCTCACGGTTACAGCTATACATTCATAGCCATGGTTGTAATTCTCTAGAATTATTGTTTTGTTGCAGAAATTCGTGGCTGCAGCTGTGGATTTGGGGCTGTAGCCCTGTAATTCAGACTTCATCAAATTCTGCACAAAAATAGAGATATTTTAAACTAAAATGCTACCACTCTTGTAACTTTTTGAATTAAATTAATTTACCTATTTGGGGGATTAATATGCTCAGAATTATTTACATTTTAACCTAAAAAGAGTGCTAAATTAATCATAAAATTTGAATTTCTAACGCTTAACAAGAATCTTTCTTATACAAGAATTAAAACTTCATCATTGTATTTAAAAAATCAAAATCAAGAGAGATTAAATATGTTAAATAGATTAATTTTCTATGTATTGCTTAGAAATGTTCTATTTATCAAAAAAGGACCTTCTAAAAATAGAAGTATTACTAATTAAGTTTTTTAAATATATTTTTGTCTAAATGGTCATTTTGCTCAAGTTTTGTAGGACTACTGTAGACGACGATAAAGATTTTTTTTCTAAATATTTAATACAACTACATTCACTAAAATTAGAATTTTTAATTATAAGTTAATTTTTAAATATTTGAATCATTAAAAATAGTTTTGTTTCAAAATATTATAATTTTGACGCAGTCTTTTAAATTTATTTTTTTCATTAAATTAACCCTTTAAAGATTTGATGGATAGTTATATTAGTCGTTTAATGATCTAAACTTTTATTAAACCGGGTCTGAAAAGCATTGAAGTGATGAAAAATTTTATGTTAGCAATAAACTATTTTTTTATAAAATAAAGATATAAAATGTCATCAAAAAATAAATTTTACGAAAGACTAACTGTAAAAAAGATTAATTTAATTTTAAAATTTTGAAAGACATACTAACGTGATAATTAATTAAATCATTAAATAATTAATGATAAAATATCCAAGTATACGTAAATTAATAAAATTAAATAAGTAGTTTAAAACTGAGATTAAATAGAAGCTATATATATATATATATATACTATGATTAAGAGAATCTTCCTTATATAAGAAATAAAACTTCACCATTGTATTTAAAACATCAAAATCGAATAAGTAAATTTGTTAAATAGATTAATTTTCTATGTATTGTTTTGAAATGTTCTATTTATTAAGAAAGGAACTTCTAAAAAGCAAAAGTATTATTAATTAAGTTTTTTAAATATAATTTTTTTTATCTAAACGACACATATCTTTTATTAGAAACAATTTTGCTCAAACTGAGTAGAATTATTATGAACGGTAATTTTTTTAAAAAAAATATTTAATATAACTACATTCACTAAAACTAAAATTCATAACTATAGGTTAAATTCAAATAACATTTTAATAGTTGATTTATGTGGTTTGTGGTAAAAAATAATTTTCAAATATTTCAATTAGTAAAAATATTTTTTTTAAAATATTAAAATTTTTATGCAGTTTTTCAAACTGATTTTTCATTAAATTAAATATTTAAAGATTTAATGTATTGTTATATTAGTGATTTAATGATCTAAACTTTCATTATATTGGGTCTAAAAGGGAGTGAAGTGATGAAAAATATTATGTTAGCAATAATTATTTTTATGATAAAGATATAAGATGTCATCAAAATAAAATTTTATGAAAGACTAACTGTAAAAAAGATTAATTTAATTTTAAAAATTTTGAAGGACGTACTAATGTGTTATTTAATCAAATCTTTAAAGAATTAATTTGATAATCTAAATCTTTAAAATAATTATTTACTAACATTTTCATCATTAGAAGACCAAGCAAATTAAATGTTTTTTTTATTTATAAAATTACAATGCTTATTATCAAATTTTCCTTTTATTACCTTTCATGATTTTACTCTCAAATTTACAATATTTAATGCTTTTATATGTTTATCAGTTTATATTTTACATAAAAACTAAGTTTTAATTAAAATTTTGTACAAGATAATATATTTATCTGTTTATAAATAAATTTAAAATATAAATATAAAATTTTAAATGAATCAAATTATTTAAATTTAAAATTTTATTTAAATTAACTTAAAATAAAACGTAATATATTCGTATGAACAAATCCGATATTTTTCCCTTATAGTAGATTCAAGTCGAACTATAAACACCTTTCAAATATTTACTTAATTATATGTAAAAAACACAAAGTGTTAGTAAACGTTATATAATTTTTAATTGTTGTAGAGTACGCAGCCAACACACACAGGGATTATTGTTTTTAGTTGAAGATGTGGAACTAAATTGTTGAATTAATATTTGAATAATATTTCAATATAAATTACGGGTAAGTCATTTATGGATTAAATATATGAGAATGCATTAAGAGTATTGTTTTTTTAGTCAACAATAGGAAAAAAAATAATATTAAGACAAATAATTAGAAAATAAGAAAATGAGTTTTATTTCAGACTCTTTTTACTCGCCTTAAGTGCGACGAGTTCTTATTTTTATAAGGGATGAAGTTATAGCACATATAAAAAATGTAAAATGCAGTCTCAAAATCTATACTCAGATCCAAGGAACTTCCTTTTAGGTTTCTATTGTATAAAGTTCTTCAAAACCAGAACTTATACATAAAAACGTAATACAGACAAAATTATATATGTATATGTTACGGTATGTAGTTAACTTGGTCTAATTTTTAAAATATAAAATTATATTATCATATTATATAATTAAAAATTAAAAATTTGTTAACTTCAGTCCTTAGAGCTGAATTTAAGTATGTATAAATAAAATTTTTTTTATGAAAAAAGTACACAGTTATTATATTAAAATTATAAAATATAATAAATACTTTTTTTTAATAAAATTTTATTATTATTAGCTGCTTATTTTTAACTCTAAAAAATAAGGTTAATAAAATTTTAAAAATTTTATAATTTACTCATATAATAGGTGCTTTCTAATTACAGGAAGAATTAATTAATAATGGTTGTGTATTATCACGGCAACTTCTAGCTAGGTGAGAAAACGTAGAAAATTTAATACAGTCAAACAGTACTACAGTAATATTTATGTGGGAAATGATGACACTGTATGTGCCTAGACAAGGACTGGTCATTAAATTCCGTAATGAAAAATACACATAACTACTTATATAAGAAAAGAAAAGTCGCATAATATTATATTATTAACATAAAAATATTAAATATTATTTTATTTATTTAATACTACAGAATTTAAGCATGTACAAAGAAAATTAAATACTACAGAATTTAATTTTGATACATTATTAACATAAAAAT